GCCATATGGAACTCTTACCAAAAAAAAGGTGACAACTAAAAAACATTGAGTGTGTGACTTAAAGGAATGAATTCAAAATTGGTGGCCAAACTGGTAGCTACAGTTGTAGCATTTATAAGAATTTTATAGCCAATATTCATTCATTAGTTAGCTAATTTTGTTTTACCCATCATTAAACACTAAGTTGGACAAAAAAAATGCAGCCTGGCTAACTAATGACTGAATATTTGCTGTAAAATTCTTATCAATGCTATAATTGTGACTACCAGTTTGTCTGCCAATTTTGATTTCATAGCTTTAAGTCACATGCTGAAATTTGTTTTGACTGCATCTTTTTTTTTTTTGTCATGTAAGGTGTTTTGGATTAGATTTATCATATACAAATAACATGCACACACAAGTGTATACAACAAGTTTAGGAAATACATATTTTGTGAAAGAAAATAGTTTGCATAGATGTACCATATTTTATTTATACTAATGTATATTTTGTTTCACAAAATATCATACAATTAGGCCAACAATAACAATTCATCCTCTGCATCATCTTGGTCTGAATAAATATCTGAAGTAAAATAGCTCAACATAGACTTTGAAACAATAAAATAGTTTACAACATTTTCATTAAATGAGATAGTGGTCTTAATATGAACAACTGAGTCAAGCATCTTCAAACTCATTTTGTTTCAATACTTTTGGCAAAATTATTTCAAAGACAAAGTATTTTATGTGTGTTTTATTAACTCTATGTATACAGGCTCAGTCATTTTTACTGACAAATTATTTCAAAGACAAAGTATTTTATGTGTGTTTTATTAACTCTATGTATACAGGCTCAGTCATTTTTACTGACAAATTATTTCAAAGACAAAGTATTTTATGTGTGTTTTATTAACTCTATGTATACAGGCTCAGTCATTTTTACTGACATTGTACCCACCATATAAAAAATAAAATAAATTTAAATTACCCCTTTTTCCTTCAACTTAGAATGCTAAATAGTTCCACACACACAAAACACACCCTAAAACTTAAAAAGTTTATCTAGCTCTCTAACTTATATACCCTCCCTCTCGTGGCACAGCGGCTTGTCTGTAAACTTATACCACCTAAAACTGGGTTTCGATACCTGTGGTGGGCAGAGCACAGATAGCCTATTGTGTAGCTTTGTTCTTAACTACAAATGAATGAATAACTAACATAGAAATAGCTTAAAGTTATTCCCATACCTGGTCAAACAGAGCTCCAACAGTGAGATTGAGAAAAATGGTGCTCAGATGTCAGATTCTTATTCCATTGTCACAGACCTTCAGAACCTATAGTTGTCAGTTCTGTGAAATTTCTGCCTTTTATTGGTTACGAATAATACAGTAGCAAATGACAGAGAGAATTTGACATGTTTTGAAAGCAAGATGCTCAGTGGATGGCATGGCATTTGATCAGTACTTTATTGCTGATATCTCCATGCAGCAAAAGCTGTATCAGTGGCAAATTCTCACTACAAATTGATAGTTTAGCTCAAGGATATGTATAATGTAAGTGCGAAATTCCACAGAAAAATACAATGACTTAGAAGGTAGCAAAAAATGTTGAAATAGACAGTTTGGACTGAAGAAGTGTCATGAAGAAAGTGAAGTTTGGCATTTATATATATATAATATGAAATTGAAACTTTTATGTTATTCAGATTTGTTCCATAAATTATGTTCAAAGCCAACTTTATTGATATACATTGATAAAGTAGTTTAAGTAAATTTCGAATGTAACTGTAAAAGGCTGTGACATATGCACTTAGTCTTAGTGAAAGGGGACCGAGCACGTGAACATTTTTTACTTGTTTAATACTATAACTTTTAATGCACTAAGTGCATATTCAGAAAATTTGCAGACTTTTAGTAAACTTTACACAAAAAAATCAATTTTATTTTAGTGAAGCATTTTTAATATACATTTGTCCATGAATATATTGTCTTTTTTGACCAGTCTGAGTGTAAAGTGGTTTCATGTTAAGATTAAAAATATTTTGCTTCATCTCAAAAATTTCGAATGTTATTTGCATAATCTCTAAAACCTCCTAAAAATACTTCAAATGTTTTCATCAGTAAACTTGTATATTTTATCTGTTTGGTAAGTCAGTCAAATTGATTGACCTTGTAACCACCAAAAAAAAAATCGATATCAATCTAAATTACCCTTTTTTTTATTTCTAGAATGGCTTCAAATTGTAATATGAAACTGTTTATCCTTTAATCTAAAATTTGTCTATTCTGAAAGTGCCTGTCCATGAAAAAGTTTCATTTGTTCATTAACATAATATCTATCTCTTTTCACTCTTTTGTCTATTATGAATTTTACAATCTTACTTGAATTCTTTATTGATATTTAGGTCTATTTTTGCATGTGCTGGAAACAATCAGGTACGTTTAGGACTTCTTCCTCCTTTTTTTTGGTGCTTAATATTATAGTACTGTAAAATACTATGTTTATTACTACATGAGAGTCGTGGCTTGTACCCCAACCATGAGTACAACATTTAACCCCTTCCAAGACCATATCCATGTATGTAATGCATTAGTATACTAAGTTTCACTTTGTAAAATGACAAGTTTGCCTGCTAGCAGTAAAGGACTTGTTCTTATACTTATAATATTAGTGGA